AGACTGAGAGAGAGCTGTCAATTAGACATTTAAACACACTCCATGAAATAGAAATCACAAAAGAGCCGCTACCTTGTCATGAGTTTAAATTGATCTCTAAGAAAAGACACATTTTGAATTGTGTTCACCGCTCTGATCTTTGGCAAAACCAGACATAATCACGTGCATATACATAAACTTAAACATATGCATAAACTCTAATAGACCAGGTAAACGCAGCTTCAACATTCAAATATAGGGTTAAATTATAAAACCTTGAGCAATCTGATTGGTACCGAACATCATTACTTGTTACATTGTAGTTTTTTCGGGCGACAAAGAGAGCATTTTCTCCAAAAAGCAAATTTCATACACGAACGTGATCATTCGCTTAAATCACTATTAATATCAAATAACAGACATGTTTAAAATTAGGGAGCCTCGTAAAATTTATTAATTCTATTATAAAATCAATATTATGCCTCCATATTTAATATTTAATTCAAAATTTCATTTAATATTACTCATTTGTTAATCTGTTTGTTTCCTGTTATTTGTATGTTTATTTCTTTCTCAGTATTTTCTTTTAATGTAATGACTTATTTACAAATGAAGTCATTGTTTTCATAAAAACAGATGCTTGTTAGAAATACAAGTACATATTGTCTAACTGTAAAATTTATAAAAGTTTTGCAAGTAGCATCAATCTTCAGAACATGTATGTACTGGTGGTATTCATTTTAAACTTTAACAAATAACATCAGCTTTTGAAAGAAATCAGAAAATATTTACATGAAACCTAATACATATCTTGGGATCATAATTAGTGGTCTCTACCCAAGCCCCATAAAACTTTGGCATAGATTTTTACTGCCCTTTGTGATTTCTTTTGGTGCAACATGACTGGTGTGGGGTCCTTTTTGACCACATTTATGCAATTCCCTTTTCATGTCCGTAGCATCCAGTGGCAGAATTAAATTTACAGAATTGACAAAATTGAAATTGTTTGAATTTCGAGGTAAATAATCTATCAAAAAATGATAAGAAATCAGAGAGTTGCCATATATAGGCTGGATTTTCATGTACTATCTGAAAAAACGAAAGGCAAAAATGGGAAGAATTCAGTAAAAATGCATGCTTATTTTTTTATAGGTTACCCGCAAATAAAACCCACTAGAGGCCTTCACTGCTTTATGTTGCCAACATTTTGGCTACAATTGTAGTGTATTCAACTGTGGTAAACGTTTGTTCAAGATAAGACCAAAAACACAAAAGCACAATAATAATAATATTAATAAATATATATTCTATGAATTAGATACTTCTTGAACAAAAATTTTAAAATAATAGAAATAATGTCTGCAATTGATTTATTAATCTTTATACCTGGAAAATTTACAACAAAATATGTTAACAACACTAAAATCACAATTCTACTTACACAATTAAACAAGAGCCACCGCCGGGCAAGGGTAACGCTCGACTTTTTACTTTTTCTAAAAGCAAACAAAGAAAGGTTTCTTAACGTTTCCTTTTTATAAATATAATCGGTCTGTCTTGTCACATTAGTTTTGTCTATAAATTTTGTAATATATATATGAAAGAAAGAAAGTCACGAGCGGGAAATTATACATAGAAAAATCGCACGAAAAAGCAACGGCCGCTGTGGTGTAGTGGTTAGCATACTGGACCGGCAATCCAGAGACCCGTGGTTCGAGTCCCGGCTGCGGTGTGCCGATTTTTCGTGCGATGTATATATATATATATTTCTATTTCTAGAATTGCGTGTTTTTATTTATAGAAACACGCAATTCTAGAAATAGAAACACGCAATTATATAAATAGACACACTCAATTCTCAAAATAGAAACACGCAGTTCTATTAATAGAAACACGCAATTCTATAAATAGAAACACCCAATTCTAAAAATAGAAACACGTAATTCTATAAATAGAAACACGCAATTCTATTAAATAGAAACACCCAATTCTAAAAATAGAAACAGGCAATTCTATAAATAGAAACATGCAAATCTAAAAATAGAAACACGCAATTCTAAAAATAGAAACACGCAATTCTAACAAAAGAAACACGCAATTCTATGATGTTGTTGTTGTTGTTGTTGTTGTTGATGATGATGATGATGATGATGATGATAGATAGATATCTATATATATATTCAGTAATTTTACCTTCAAGGTCAAGGTCATTAAAGAGCCCAAGTCAATTTGGGTTTGATAAACAACAAGGTCTTGTCTTTAAGAATGTTCTGTTATAATATGAAGTTGATCCCTTCAATAATAGCAAAGTTACAGCCAGTTACAGCCAAAACAATGAAAATTTCAATAATTTGACCTTCAAAGTCAAGGTCATTAATGAGTGAAGGTCAAGGTCTGTCTGGTTATTTTTAAGGGTTATCCTTGAATATTATTATGTTTAAGTTTGAAGACAATCCATTCAAAAATAACAAAGTTACAGCCAATAATAGGCAAAAATATGAAAATTTCAATAATTTGACCTTCAAAGTCAAGGTCATTTATGAGTGATGGTAAAGGTCTGTCTGGTTAATTTTAAGGGATATCCTTGAAGATTATTATGTTCAAGTTTGAAGACAATCCATTCAAAAATAACAAAGTTACAGCCAATAATAGCAAGAACAAACAAAATTTGGACTTTTAACTTTGAAGGTCAAGGTCATTTATGGATAAAAGTCAAGGTTAGTGTGGTCTACTGAAAGGTCTTGTCCCAAGGGTTGTTGTGGCAAAGTATGAAGACAATACACCAAGAACTAAAAAAGTTATGTTCCATGGAGGTACAATTTTGCGGACGGCAACGTCATCGGCAACGGCAACGCCGCCGCGACTAAAGCAATACCTCTATTATTTTTTTCTATCCAGATCCCCGGATTTATCTCCAATAGAGCACCTTTGGGACCATCTTGGCCGCAAGGTACGTCAACGTAATGACGTCAACAACCTGAGGGATCTGGAACGAGCGTTACACGAGGAATGGTTAAACATTCCACTCCAATTCATCAGACGGCTGATCAACAGCATGAGGAGGCGCTGTTTGGCAGTCATCAACAAAGCAGGAGGACACACCCGCTATTGACATCCTCCAGAATTTCGCTTTTGACCCCTAGATGACGCGAATGACGATTAACTTCTTCCAATTGATTGAATTTTGTTTTGATATGGATGAAATTAAAGAAGATACTTTACTGATTTCGAAAAATGTTTTCTTGTTTATTTCTTTAGAGCTTCAATACATCAGTCCTATCATCTTTGTGTACTGGCTAAACTTTTTGTGTTGAGTTTATATTGCGTTCTGATGGGCTATTTCTTTTCTTTTTTCCATTTGCATTTAATTATAATTTCACTGCATATGCATGTACGAATATGTCATATTCAACAATGAGAGTACAACAAATTGATATGATTTTACAATAAAGACGAAACACTAAAGAGTATAAATAAAGACATTGACCATTGTTATTTTTATTTTGCCATAAAAGAATATTAATTTTGAACCTCTAGAAAACATTATTTTACATATCGAGGTCTGAATTATTTATATGATAGAAGACAGTACAAAAGTATATCTACCTTAAAATAATATCAAAATCAAGCAATACAAATCACATAACTAAAGCTACTAATTATTATTGAGATTTTACATAGATCTTTGACTTTTAATTATTTTTACAAATTATCTGGTTATTTGTTTGGATCGTCAGACCAAACAAATATCGGTAGCGAAATTTCAGACCCTGATGCTGTTAATTGCAAATGCCGAAAGTAGTCCGCTTTTTTGAAGCGGTTACTTCCCTTTATATGTACACTAACGCTAAAAAATTCAGGGGAGATCACTGCGTAAAGCTTAAGATGGTCAAATGACAGGTGCATTAATAGCAAAATAGTTCCCGAATGGTCGAAGATTTCTAATATTGTTTTATTCTTTATAGATATACATGCTTACTGTATAGTAAGCTCGATGGTTATTTACATCAGTTAGCGTCGAAATAATAAGGGTTACAAACCCTAATTTAGAATAATATAGTTTTCTTCAGGCCGTTAACATATAACTTCACCGTGGCTGAGGTTTACGTGCTCGCTTAGGAAGCGAGAGGTCTCGAGTTCAAATCCCAGTTAAGGCAACTCATTTTTTTTTCAAATTGTTTAAGTCAATTAAACATTGAATTGAATATCAGTGTTGCAATTAGTCTTATAGCCAATTTACTACAATTAAAACGCTGGAAAACATTGGTAGCAGTATACAAAAACAAATTGGTTTATAATCTCACAACCTTCACCTTTCTGACATTCTCAAACAAATTCAGCGCCTTCTGTGCTTTGATTTTGTGAATGCAAGACATTAACTTACCATTAATATGCCTATTTATTACATGGTGTCTCTACCACATGGCATTTTGTGATCTGCGTTGGGCAGAAAATTGATACAAAAGTCGATCCAGTCATTATTTCTTTTTTCGTAATTTTCTTTAATATTTCATTACTTTTAATGAGATAAAATGTAGACTCAGCTTATTCTAATAACAAAAATCAGTTATTTTTATGTGAAACCGCGCGATTGGACAATAATAAATTTTCGGCGTTTCACTATACGAAAAAACGATTGATTTCACCTCCCCCCCACCTCCCTAAGAAAAAAATACATTGTATACATTGTATGTATTGGTAACTCACTTAAATAGCATTATCCCACACAAACATAAGGATTTTTAAAAAAGTAAATGATGGACCAGCTATTCTATTGGTTTTCTGCGCAACGCAGATCACAAAAAGTCACATTGTAAAGGCACCGTGTAGTAATGATAAACTTAAATAATCAATATATTAGTTTTAATGGAATTCGATGACCAATACTGGTATACAAATAAATCAGCAATTAAAAATGATCCGGGCGACGGACAGACGGATAGATAATGTCCTTTAATTTCTACTCATTAATTTTATTAAACAAATTATAGAAGGGAGGTATTGAAGCAAGTATAAAAGAATCATATTTTACGTTTATTTGCATTATAGAACTGTCTCATATAAAACCATTGAATCGTTTGAATATGTTACCTGCTGGACATTAAACTCTTTATTTGACAAAGTTCATCGACAAATCACAAGCACAAACTCTGAAAGAGAAAATACTGGTATATGTAAATGCCCCGGTCACATATTCACGGATAATGCCACGGAAGAGCTACGGTCTAATCGTTCACGGATTACTGCGGAAATGTGAAATTCTGTAGTCCGCTACAGTTCCAGTATGGACACACAACAGTTTGAGTACGGAGTTCGTCGGATTTACCACCAAAAGCCCCGGGAGATACACGGATTGTTACGGACCGCGGAGCGACACGAATCAGGACGGACGCACTACGGATACACTACGGTCTGCTACGATATAAGCACGGGTTAGTACGAATAAATACGGTCTGATACGGAGAATAACGAATTGATACGAAGAAGAACGAATTGCCACGGATCTATACAGACCTATTACATCCGTCCACAACATTTTGTATGCTCATTTTCAAAATGCCCCACAAGAAAAGAACACCTAGAAAACGAATTGCAGAGTTCAATGATTTTGGCGGAGAGGATTAGGTCTCATCGCGTCCAACCTCCGAGACATATCAGGTCCGATCAAAGTGAATTTCTTGAAGGACACCGGATCCTCAACAAGTTTGGCCATGAGAGCCTCATACTAAACATGAAGGGGTCTTCGTAAAAGCCCATCTCTAGTCCACCATTTCCTCTGTGTTTTCGTACCTGATTAGATATGGACTAGTAATCATTAATGAAAAATATTGATCAATACTGCTTCTCTTTTGATTTTAAAATTTGCTGTTCATTTTACAGTCACATTAATTATCGTGAATGTTTATGTTTTAAAAATATGTAAAAAGCTTGTTAATTAATCTTATTACCACTCAAGGGCTAGCGTTCGAGGCTTATGAGACACTTCGTTTTATGTACATATTTAATCCAATTTCACGATCCAATATGTAATATTATTGTTATTCTATTACTTATGAATTGTAGTACGATATAAATTTATTTTTACCTCTATGCATGTCATCAAGCAGCTCGACCACTGCCTCATTTCAATATACTGAAGTTGCAGCCAGTAAATGGCAATTATCATTTATTGAATGTTCACGCATATTATGTCTGTTTTTAACAAGAATGTAGTATCATTTATACCCTTGAAAACGTACATGATACTTATTTTATCCGTACTAAACGGTGGTGGACCGTACCATTCCGTACCGTTTCGTGTTGCAACGCAAAAAAAAACGTATAATACCGTGCTAATCCCTGCCTCTCCGTAGTACAAGGTATTACGATCGTGGCTTTCCGTGACAATGGCGTATTAATCCGTATTAAAACCGTAGCTTTTACGTAAGGTAACCCTACAAAAACGTAGTTCTCCGTACCAAACCGTGGTAATCCTAGACAAGTTGGGACCCACGAATCAGTACGGACTAGAACGGTTTTTGTACGGACCAGTACGTATCAGTACGGTTTAATACGGACTAGTAGGGATTTTTCCGTAACACATTTTTGTGCATGTTCAAAAATTGTCAAGGATCGTTACGGATATACAAGGACTACTACGATTGATAGCTATAATGTTCACTGTTATACCCCAGTCACATATTCACGGAATACGCCTACGGAAGAGCCACGGATTAATTCCGGCATCGTCCGTAGCTACCCGTACTGGTCAGTAGCTCTCCGTATTGAAACCGTAATCAATCGTAGTAGTCCTTGTATATCCGTAGCGATCCTTGACAATTTTTGAACATGCACAAAAATTTGCTACGGAAAAATCAACCGTAGCGTATCCCTACTAGTCCGTATTAATCCGTACTGATTCGTACTGGTCCGTACGAAAACCGTAATAGTCCGTACTGATTCGTAGTCCACCAACTTGTAAAGGATTTCCACGGTTTGGTACGGAGAACTACGTATTTGTACGGTTACCCTACGTATAAGCTACGGTTTAATACGGATTAATACGGCATTGCCACGGAAAGCCACGATTATAATACGTTGTACTACGGAGAGGCAAGGATTAGCACGGTCTTATACGGTTTATTGCGTTGCAACACGAAACGGTACGGAATGGCACGGCCCACCACTGTTTAGTACGGATGAATTAAGTATCATGTACTTTTTCAAGTGTATAAATACTACCTTCTTTTTAAAAACAGACATATGTATTTGCACAAACATTTGATAAATGATAATTGCCATTTACTGGCTGCAACTTTATATTGAAATGGCTGAGAATGCGGAGGCAGTGGTCGAGTTGCTTGATGACATGCATAGAAGTAAATTTATATTAATATCGTACTAAAATTCATAAGAAATAGAATAACATTTAACGTTACATATTTTACAAACATAAGATCGTAAAAATGGAGTAAATATGTACATAAAACGAAGTGTCTCATAAGCCTCGGACACTGGCCCTTGAGTGATAATAAGATTAATTAACAAGCTTTTTACATAAACATCACGATAATAAATGTAATTTTAAGATAAGCAGCAAATCTTAAAATTAAAAGAGAAGCAGTATTGATCAACATTTTTCATTAATGGTTACTAGTCCATATCTAATCAGGTATTAGAAGACAGACGAGATGGTGGACTAGAGATGGGCTTTTACGAAGACCCCTTCATGTTTAGTATGAGGCTCTCATGGTCGAACTTGTTGAGGATCCAGCGTCCTTCAAGAAATTCACTTTAATTGGACCTGATGTGTCTCGGGGTTCGGACGCGATTAGGCTGAATCCTCAGCGCCAAAATCGTTGAACGCTGCAATTCGTTTTCTAGGTGTTCTTTTTTTTTGAGGCATTTTGAAAATGAGCAAGCAAGAGGTTGTGGAAGGATGTATTAAGTCCGTATAGATCCGTGGCAATTCGTTCTTCTCCGTATCAATACGTTCTTTTCCGTATCAGACCGTACTTATTCGTACTAACCCGTGCTTATACCGTAGCAGACCGTAGTGTATCCGTAGTGCGTCCGTCCTGATTCGTGTCGCTCCGTATTAAACCGTGTCGGTCCGTATAGCAATCCGTGTCTCTCCGGGGGACTTTGGTGGTAAATCCGTCGGACTTCGTACTCATACCGTTGTGTGTCCGTACTGGAACCATAGCGGACTACGGAATTTCACCTTTCCGTAGTAATCCGTGAACGATTAGACCGTAGCTCTTCCGTGGCATTATCCATGAATATGTGACCGGGGCAGTACGATTTATCGAAACACGAAATATTAAAACGCTATTCAGAAACAATATGGTAATCGATTTATACATTTTAAAACATTAAAACTGAATGAAACATCAACGTTGCGCTAAGTAACGTAAATCATATTTTCCGATTTTTCTATGTACCAATTTGTTCACTTCGATGTTAATTTTTCGTTTAAGTTAAGTCGTATTTTGAAACGGAGCATGCGCAAAACCATTTTTATAGACTGCTCCTACCCAGCAGGCACATCAACGTTGTTTCAACGTTGAATTATGGTCAGATTTCAACGTTGAAATGAGGTTGGATTTATATTCGGATTTTAAAGTTGAAACAACGTTGAAATTTCAACGTTGATACAACGTTGCAGCTTCAACGTTGGTACAACGTTGAAGTTTCAATGTCATTTCAACGTTGAAAACCCACCATACTTTTTTTTTGGATATAAAGCAAAGTAACCATATTTTAACAAAATATCAAGACAATATTAAATACTTCAGATATTTTATTTCAAAAATACAGTTCAAGTGCAGCTTAAATTCACTTTAATAGTTTAACAATTAAGCTACAATCTGTTCCAATCTTTTCTTCTAGATCTTTCTGGGTATGTCAAGTGTTTGAGTACTTCTTTGGCTGTCTCTTTCTGCTTCTGCAAATAAAAATAAGAAGTTTGTAGTTAAAAGTGACTTGGTTAATCTCAAATTATACATATAATTACTCAACTTAGTGATTTGTTTTTATCTTAAAATGCTTAATCTGCTTATCTCTAAGATCTACATCATAAAACAGCATAGAAATTGAAACATATCTAAGTTTCATATTGACAGCAAATACTGTACATAAAACAACAAAATCTTTTTAAAAAGAAGCTATTTAAAAGTCTCACCTATGATTGGTAAGAAAAACTGCTCCCCGTCAGTTACTTGCAGCATATTCCCAAGAAATTATCATTCTAGGCTCTAGCTTAGACCATTTTATGCAGCATCCTGAAATCAACAAACATGTAAATTTTATGTTAATAATGTTACAGGAATATTCTGATAATAATATATTTTAAGACAAGATAAATATCCAGTAGTTGAAAAATTTATACTTTGTATTGTAAAGAAATTCAAATATATAAATTAATAAGAATTAATTTCAATTTAACAAACCTGACAGTCCTTTTCATGTTGAATGTATGGTATACTGGCTACAGCTGCAATACTCTAAATACTCTAAATTTCAGCCGGGACCAGGATCTAGAATATAAAATAATAGAAATAGATTTATTATTCCCTATAAATTTATGACTATTAAACTTATAAAGTTTAACACTCAACTTTGTTATTTAACTTCATAATAATGTTTTTTTTTCAAACTAATTAACACTGTATTATACCATCACTAAAATATAAACATAGTTATATTGACGAATCGTCTTGGGACGTAAATTATGTGGGCCGAACTACTTTATAGGTTTGATTAAATTTTAATTAGGATATAGTACAGAAAAATGTTAAATATGAAAAATGAATTAAAGAAAGACAAGATTTGTAAAATCATAAATTGCAAAAGACATCAATAACTTCGTGTTTAAAAGGCCTACCTAACCCAAATCATTCAATTAGGTCGCGAAAACGTGTCAAATCAACTCAATCATGTGTTTTCATCTCTCATTTATTTCATAAAATAAATTAAAGTAGAATTTTAAGAATAAATAATAATAATTTAGAAAATAATCAGTAAACTAAAGTAAAACATTACTGTAATACCTCCGAAATCCAAATAAATTGCCGAATCGTGTTGTTTTTTAAATTTCGAAACAGCGCCACCATTTCCACGAACGATAATCATAGACAACAAACAAAATCAGGGACCGCAACAATTACTTCCCCTGACCAGCGTTATTTTATAAACGGGGTTTTGACTAATATCAATTAATTAATTAATATTATTCATAAAGAACTAAAAAAAAACAACATACAACCAAACATATTTACTAATATTAAAAGCGTTAATAGAAAGTGAAAAATTATCTCCAACTTCATTTGTTTAAGCGCTTATTTTGAATATCCGGAAAAAGATTGTACCGCAAATTTTCCTGATAAAAATCACTTACAGACTTATTCAATAAAGGAATAATGACACGAAATTAGTGGTATAAAAGTTTATATAATGATAAAACTAAATGTTAAACTTCGACAATAAACAACGTTGAATCAACGTTGAATATACATTGGCAATATATCCGTATGGTCGCCCATAGTTGAATATTGGTTGAACAACGTCACGACCATATTTCAACGTTGTTTCAACGTTGAAACAACGTTGAGTGCCTGCTGGGTAATGATATTACGCTTTACATGAGATTCATTCAGTACAATCAGATACACAAAAATGGATGCCGCCATAATGATTGGCATCCGCGCCGAACGCGACGCTCTTATGGAATGAAATCAGATTTTGTGAAAGGGCAATTGCAACTTCTCGGGCCTTTTCTCGATCATAATAGCCGATAATTCCGAATGGTACTTGATTATTCCCTGCGGTCTGGAGACCGCAGGGTATTGGTACGCGTTTAACTTTTGAGGCATGGAGGAGCACGTGACCTGTTTTTGGTACATGGAGGAGCATGTGATCTGTAAACCTGACATGATTGGTTAATTGACCTTTTCGAAAACCTAGCTAAATACCGTTTGCCGGTATGTTACGGATTTACCGCTAGGGAATTAGTCCGAATTACACTTAATTAAGAACAAAAAGCTATAACGTGATATTTCTAATTTTCTATAATTATTTTACCGTTTAAGGTGGAGAAACTTGGATGATGTGTTTGAAATTTTCAATGATTCTTTAGTATCTTTCTCAAATTTTACAAACAATAAATTGTTTATACTGAAAATCTACAAGATTAAAATATACGTAGTGGCATCTGCCATAATTAATAGATAGAGATATTTTTTGCGTAAATTTGTGTGTTTACTTTTTTTTTGCTCGAAATTATTCATAAAATGGTAGTCCTATTTAATAATTTTCTTAAACAGAAATAATTGTTTTATATTCAACCTTCAACGGTCATCAGTTTTCAAAGACCTACTTCTATATTGATCGTTTATTGTCAACTATATTCCTGATACAAACGTTTATTTATCCCCCAAAACATTGTTGAAAATAGTTAAATTAAATATCTTTATATCATTAAAAATGTTCCCCGCAGGAAACCATTTTACTTGTTAAAAGTGACATGTTCCGATATGTACAATGAATAGCGAACTGGCGAATTATGCAATGCAAACATATTAAAATGAAACTATCTTTATCGTTGTTAAATTGCGTTCTGTTCGTTTTTTTATTAATCATTTTGTAGTACACAGTGGGTAATTATGTATTTTATTGTAGATGTACATGAATCCGAAAGCTATAAATAGAATAATTACCTTAACATTGTGAAAGTCCGAAAATCTATTTATAGAAGTAGTTTTTTTTTTGTTTAACGAAATGGTCGTTCATGTCGCGTTATAGTATGGTAATAAATAACGAACAGGCGAATTTTGCAGTAAATGAAATGCAAACATATTCAAACAATCAATTGCACTCTTTTAAAATCTAAAGAAAAACTTCTGATGTTCTATATTTTGTTTAAATGAAAGTTTGAGTGGAATGTTGATTTGCCGAATATTGTGACATTTTAACAACAGAAACTTTCAGCAATTTTAGCATAAGTTGTTATGAGTCAGACGAGGTTTTTGAAGTAATTCATTCAAATGGTTGAATGACCTTCCAATTATTAACAGACTTTGTTCATTTTGACTACTATTTTGTATATTCCAAAGAAAATACCACATGAACTTGAAATTATATCAAATAAGCAATATTAATGATAATATCCAAAAATACCCCCTATATAGTATAAATAAACTTATATTATATAGGGGGTATATATTGTATATCATACACCTGAATATTTTGAAAATTATCGTTAATATTGATATAATTTCAAGTTCCTGTGGAAAAAAAAATAATTCTAATCTCTAGCATGCCTACAAAAGTTCCTGATGAACAGTGTCTTTCGTCCGCCGATTCATAAATAATAATTAATTCTGGTAAAAACAATTAACCATTGAAAAGTTTATAAGAATATCTGGTCATCAGATGTCTTACAGTTCATCTTCACTTGCTGTTTCTCTTGCCTGGACACCCTTTGATGCTTTGCATCAATGCTTTTCTTGTTTTACGCTTTAAATGAGATCCATTCACTACAAAACTCTAGCAAATTATTACGAGCATCTAGATTGAAAAACAGAAGTATGCATGCAGGTCTCTGTTATCGACTTATTGAAGACTGTGGAGAGGTCTGATGACCTCTCCAATTAATCTGTGGCTCTTCCGTGGGCGTATTTCGTGAATATGTGACCGGGTATAACGGTTTTATTTGCTTCATGCTTTTAATAACACAAATGTGTATGCTTATCTAATGGGAAGTACGGTTTTTGTTGTTGTTGTTTTTTGTTGTTGTTTTTTATATACAGAAAAAAAAATTACTTTGACTAACGATGTATTTTTTTAAACATAACCAACATCACTTTTATACAATCACATCAGTGACGTCTGACCAGGCAATACAATGTTGTCTGAAAAGCGTTAAATTTTCATTAAAAATCCCCAAATTGATAATGGACAAAACTAAAAACGGAAGCTGGGAGCATTTCTTTATGGAATTCAGAATCGTTTGTGTTAACATGACAAAAGCTTGCCCCTTAATGCTACGGTTCGAATCCTTTTCTTTAACGTGATGAAGTTATATAAATTGCACACGAGCGACTCGTTAACCCAGTGGTAAATGTAGTACATATGTATGCATACCACAGGTATGACGATGGGACATCTGACGAATTCCTTTTATGTAATTTCGATGACAAACAGGATATATTACCATGGATATTAATCATTCCGTCTTTGATATCTGCCTCTAGCATCATTTCATCAATTTCTGCATCTGTCATACGATCACCTAGCGTCTTCAAAATCTCGCGAAGATCTGAGGCTCTTATAAATCCCTTACCATTATCAAATACCTGTGTAAAACAAAACAAAAAACTTTTAATAGGAGTTTTTTTTGTGTTTTTTTTTAATTCACACAAAAAGCATGATAGAGGCTATACTAGCCCACTGGCATTATTGTTTCTACAAATGAGCCAGCAAAAAAGGAGTTATTGGCAATATGTTTTCATTTTTGAAATGCAGCCTGATTTATGATACGTAAATCATGTCCCGCTGCCGGAGCATATTGATTTAACTTCGGCTGCAAATTTTTGCCAACAGCTGTTCACGAATTCGAAGACATTTTGACCCCTTATTATATCCCCACCACAAAATGTGTGGGGGCTATAATGGATTCGCTTTGTCGCGTCGGCCGGTCGGTCCGTCCGTCCGTCCGTCTCCATTTTCGTGTCCGCTCTATAAATCGTATACCAATTGAAGTATTTTCTTCAAACTTGGCTCAAATGTTCACCTCAAATGTGCAGAACCTATGTTGCCCATGTGTCAGCTCAAGGTCAAGGTCACAATTGAACGTCAAATATCAAACAATCAAATAATAGACAGTTTGTCGTGTTCGCTCTGTAAGTCCTACACTAATTGAAAGATTTTCTTCAATCTTAGCTCAAATGTTCACCTCAACAAGGTAATGTGCAGAACCCATGTTACCCTTTTGCTGGCATAAGGTCAAGGTCACGCTTGAAGGTCAAAAATTGACTTAGAAAAAATTCTTAAATTTTAATATGTACATGAATATTTTTAAAACTAGAACAGATAGTCATTTGAAACTTCAAATAACTCAGTTTTGCATTTTGACAAAGTTATGCCCCTTTTTAAGTCTTTAAATTTACATACAATCAATACTAGACAATATGTCGTGTCCGCTCTATAAATTCTATACTACTGGAAGGATTTGACTTTTAACTTGACTCAAATGTTCACCCTTGTGCCAGCTTAAGGACAAGGTCACACTTGAAGGTCAAAAATTGACTTAGAAAATGTTCTGAAATTTTAACATGTACTTGAATATTTTTAAAACTGTAACTTTGTATTGAATTTTGACAAAGTTAAGTCCATTTTTATGTCTTTAAGTTTATTTACTATAATATTTCTTAAACAAAAACAGATATTTACTTGAAACTTTATATGAATGGTTACAAGCAAGCTCAGATGACGAAAATTCTACAATTCCATTGAATTATGACACAAGTTATGCCCCTTTTAGGCTTATAAAAATGTTCTGATATAACCATTAATACTTAAATGTTTCTGAAACTTGAACAGATATTCACTTGAAACTATATAATATATGAAGAGTCACAAGTAAACTCAGTATGCAAAGTTTTTCCGCTCTTAATTACATTTTGACATAATTATGCTATTTTCTTAACTTCACTGCTTTTGTTTGTTTTAGTACATTGGGAAAATGAAAGGTTATTTGTAACTGTTTCGAACATGATTTGACAATATATATTTATTTTATTACCTGTACAATTTGTCTTTTTTTTCACCAGAGATAATTTCTTTTTATGTATATGTATTTGTGCCACTAAAGTTATTCTGTCATGGACATTGGTGGGGGTATGAATCGCATTCAGCGATAGTTCTAGTTCTATAATGTACTCGTTACTTCAGAAAAAGAATGTGCATAAATTAAGACGTTAAGTTAGAAAAAAGTGATGTTTTGTACAGGTTTGATTATTATAATTATACATGTATAATTGAACAGATTAATTGAGTTTTAAGTGAAATCATATTTGAGACTTATTTGTTATACATAATCATTCTTCAAGTTAATTATCTTACATAAGAAAGAGTAACACACGCATTACATTTAAACAAAAAATATATTATGCATTATTACGAATGACAACCCCATAATCACAGGAACCTCTAGCATTATGAATTTGCATGCCATAAAACAGGGACAGTTACTCAGTACCTAGCTGTCAGAGAATCGGATCGTAACTCTCCGTCATCCCCCATGGTCTTAATCTAGCACCTTGTGACTTCTGGTTATTTCCTTAACTGAAAGAACTTACAGCTGGAAACAATTTTACGCGTGCGTGCCCAAGACCTGCCAAAAGCAGTAAATTCAGAGTTATGGGGTATGCTTAGTAACATTCGACAAATGGCGTAGACGACTGCAACTTTTTGTAGAGAGGAGAAGAGTACTTTAAGGGACTGTAAAAAATAAACTGAATATGACAATTAACGTAAGAGACAATAAGGTATTATTAGAAGTAAACGAGGGCTGGAAATCTTATTTCTCGACACTATACCAAATGAATAATGATGATTACTTTTATTCTGATTACAAATTATATATAAAAGGTGAACTTGAAACAATTAAAAGTAAGTTTCGAAGCAAACTGCATGCATAATCACCAGCGATATGGTAAAAACAGCGCTTATTTCTTGCAAGAAACGGAAAGCCTGTGACCAAGACAATCTATTTTATGAGAAATTCATATATGGCGGAGATTTTTTGACAGAATGTATTACAAAACTCTTCAATCATATGTTTGAATTCTCACACACACCTACAGATATGAAAAAGGCATAATAACAGTGTTTTATTTAAGGGAGGTAACAAAAAGAAATGATCCAGCTAGTTACAGAGCTATCTCCCTTTGTTCCGACTTGAAAGGTCGTTCTACAAATTGCAGAAATGGATGGTCGCATTCATTTAAATCCATCACAAGGTGGTTCTTTTTTTAAAAAAAAACGTTAGCTGTTTGATGACAGCATTTATGCTTCGCGAATGTATTCAATATTCCATGGAAAATAACTCCCCAATTTATGCATGTTTTTTTAGATGGGAAACAAGCATTTGACCGCACTTAGATTTCTTAATTGTTACTAAAACTGTATCAAAGTGGTATTGATATATCTTTGTTTCAAATATTTAAATCGTTCCTCGAAAACTGTTACATTTGTGTAAAATCACTGCAAAGTACACATCAAAGACAATGTTGTAGTCCTCAATTCAATATCCTCTAACTAAACAGGATTGACATGTGTAAAAATAGCAATAAAATTCACAACTTTGTATGTGCATGTTCGATATGGTCATCATTTCAAATGTCAAAAAGGACTTGATGAACTTATAGCTTATGCTTCAATTACGCCAAAAAGGAACGTTACTTTTATAATGCAGCGAAATGCAAAGTTCTCGTTTTTAATGATAAATGTAACAACAAAAGACTATGGAAACGGAAAATGAAATTAAAAGTGAAACTAACTTTACCCATCTAGGAATTCTTTGCACATATGACATGGATCTTCGCGTGAACATTACCGAAAGCTGCCATAAACTTTAAAAAATATTTTTTAGCTTAACTAACAGTGGAATAGGGAAAAATGGACTAAACTAATCACTTCAATGCGTATTTACGAAACTAAAGTTCTCCCAGTTGCTCGGAGTGAATTATGGAGCGGTGTCACCGCGACCCAGTTACTTCCCTTGGAACGGGCACATAGACAATCAATCGCAACTACTCGGCCCTTTCCGTCAGTCTTCGGATAAGGACCTCGAACACAAGACGCAAAAGTTAGTTTCTTTTATGATTGATTTTTGTCTTTCTAAAAATAGTCCATGCATATGTGAAAAAATGAAATGTGCACACTTGTTTCCCTTCAGTATGATAGATAGATACTTTTATTTCCTCGACGTAGTATTTTTACGATTGATTATTTTCTTTATTAGTTTTATACAATAGAGAATAGATTTCAAATCGTTTTGACAAAAAAAAATATTCGTTTTTTACAAAAAAAAAGTTGTTACTGCTATCGTCAGCATGTTCCGGTTCAGTTATAATCAGTGGACTTCTGGTCCTTCTTTTGTCCAAATTTGCATGCCACTGGTGGCACAAATGGGCACAGGTGCTCGTCGAGTCTTGGGGTTACCATACCTACCCCTTTAAAAGTGAAACTTTTTTTCGAAAACAAAATCCTAAATAAACCCTTTATGATATACAAATAATTAAAAAATAGTGATAATAAATTGACCCTCTATACCTGTAAAAACATAGGTACCTTGTTTTTTACTGGTATATAAGGTCAATTTATTATTTTTTTATATAATTATTTCTTTATCTTTATGATGTGAGTTGATTTAGGAATTTTTTCAAAAATAAAATCATTTTTAAAGGGATGGGATGATGGCACAACTGGGCAAGCCTTAAAACTTTATTTTACACTTCAGTGACCTTAGGGGAAATCAATTTGCACATCTGTCAGATTATACTGTAAATTACAGCATTTCTTAAAATAGCAACACATTCTTTTTCGATTACCATGAATCATTTTACATATTAAGTAGATTTATGATTTGTTGTTTTATTTAAATTAAATTATTAAATTTACGGTAGTAGCGTATCTGTGTGGGAATGGGACTGGGTAAGTAGATAACGTGGAAAATGGATAAAATCGAGAATATGCGTAATTACAGGGGAATCTGTTGGTACCCGTTTTGACTGGATGACTTAATAACCCAACGGACAGTTTTGTTTCCATACGATATTAGTCTGGCTGCTGATTTTCCTGCGCCATTCTCATTTTTTAGCGCCGATGGCGCAAAATCGCGCCCTCATCAGATCTCTGCATATTGGATTTACTGGAAAAAAGATACATGACCGGCGATGTACCCAATTAGCGAAAATTAAGTACAAAATAAAAGGATTTATCGTCAATATAAAGGAGTTTCACCCAAATTAAATTGACCAGTCATTGCTTAAATCATGTGGTCAGGAATCACCAGCAAGCTTGATCATCGGACAAATGTTAATGTCGCGGCGTATTCAATTAATTAATTAAAGCAATTCAGTTCAATACGATGTTTTCATAAACTTGATTGATTATAACATATAAAGAAAAACTTGAATTGAAGATAATGATAATTATTAAGTTAACGTACATGTAACAACCATCCATTATCGGAAAAAACATTCAGTTTGACAAAGTCCGAAACATGCAATAATTTCAATATAGATATCTACATAATTATACTACTTATTTATACTATTGTCATCGCATT